CTTTTACTGTCATTTAGCAGGAATAGTTTCCTTATAACCAAGTTGAGACTTGACAAAAGCTGTCAGTCTCCAACAATTCCTGATTGAGGTTCTTTTAATTATTTTCTCTTTGGGATTTAGTGTTGGACACACTGAAGGAACATATGTAAGAGGTGTTTTTGATTAATTCAGGAGCAGATAACATGTCATTCACAATGGCTATCGGACATTCATGCCTAATCTTTGTTCGCAGAAAAAATAGTGGCTGTCTCTTTAAATCCCTGCCTATAGGAGGCCGCCCATCCCCCAGCGTTACCCCCATCAACCCATTACACACATAGGCACGCATCCAACACACACACATACATTTAGTTGTCCGGCAGCGTACAATGGATTTCATTATAGCATACGGGGGTGCATGCAATGACCAAACATCATTCTCATTATAAAGTATTGAATAAATGAAGGTGGTAAAGATTAACACACACACACACACACACACAGTCGAGATGTTCAATGCTCCATTGAGCCGAGATGGCATTTCTGATATCTGTGGTCACGTGATCCGGGAGGACTTTTACTACAAGATCATTCCCCAACCCCCCTTCCTCTGTCACTTACTGAGGCTTACACCACAACAACATTAATTCTGGAGAAGCAATTTACAGCCTACTCCGAGTCCTAATCTATAAACCATAAAGGCATTAGCCACAGCGCTATTTGACAGCTGCCTGAATAAAAAATGTATTACAGTTCGGGGAAAAAGTGGAGAGGCAAAGTGGAAATTATTGTTCCCAAAAGCACTACAGGGAATGCCTAGCTAGGGGACAAAGATGAACGTGTTGGGCACACATGAGTTGCAAACAATGGCAACAAAAAATCACCAAACAAAAGAAAAAACTACCCCTTATGCTCTATTTCACGGGGTTACAAATCACAGGCTTTAGAGACGAAACTGTGTAACAGTAACCTTAATTTAAGGTAAAGACCTGACTTCACACAACAGCTGTTCTCTCGTCAAATCAAACGCACATTGATTTATGAAAATCCTTTTCGGGGAAACGGTGTTATCAAAGGCTCTTGTTGAGGCTGTGACCACAAACAGGAGAGGAGACCTGATGTAGCCTATAAGGTTTCAGGATGTTGATGCAGCTGCTGCCTTCTATTCCTGCCACTGTTAGGAAAGCCGAGGGGGACGCAACAGTTTTACATTTGGATATATTTGGGGGAATGTATTCATCAGCCTAAAAAGCTGTATTTAATGCTGTTTCGTGTATTTTCTTCGCGTAAAAAGTCTCGGCTTTCCCTCGAATAATTCCCGTGTGTGAATTAGAGGTGGTTGTGGGGGCAAACAGAGAAAAGGCGATTATGGTAAGAGAATCAAATCCCCACCGCTGACCGATAGTATATACAGCCAACAAAAGTTTAAGCCACAAACACACGAAAACTCGCTCGCGGGTCGAAATTTCCACCGCAAAAAATTACACACTTAAATGTCTCTGCTCCGGACTCGGGGAACAAAACTGTTGCAAATTCAGAACCAACAAAAAGCAGCTTACCTGCGCATAAAGTTCCCAGAAGAAGTGAACAAGTCAGCCATGAAAAAGACATGTTCCGTTTTTATTTCAGGACCGATATTTCCCCCGCTTTCCGTCGCGAACATTAAAACTCAGGTTGTCCGAAACATCAGTCCAGGATCAAAACGACCACAGGCCTCCGGTCCCTCCAGCAGCCTAACCACCACCACAACGCGTGTCAATAGCCGCGACGCTGCAACAATGTTGCAAGAGAAGATAGGAGCGATTAACTGACTGTTAGTCCAGTAATACGGGCAGCATTTCGCGTCGGAAGTGGATCCAAAAACCGAATGGAAAGCGTTTAAAGCATCCGAGACGAAAGCTCAGCGCTCTTTTTGAGGTTATTCACTTGAATAGTTGCACCGCTGCATCGGGAGGTCGGTCGGGGTTTACATGCATGTTACTGATCTGTGTCCAAAATGGCTCCTAAATGGGGAATGGGCTGCAAACAGGGAAACCCGGATGTGTAAACACAAAGAGGGGAATTCAGGCAGCCAGCGTGTGACCTTAACACGACACCGTAGATACACGCCTGGAATGACTTTATTTTAGCTTCGTGTCGATAGATACTACGTTCATTTAATATTTAAAAAACTATCGGAGGGGAATAATACGTAGGGGAAATATTTGTGCTTTTCATGTTGGTATTTGCCCCGGTCCCAGCTGGTATACACTTGCACTTTCTGTGGTCAGAGTGGGTATGTTACTACTTTTCGCTTCCTATCATTTAGCCCGGGGATTAAATTACATTTTCAGGAAATGTCTCATTATTCTACTCGTTATAAATAGGATAGTGCGATATTTTTAGCCTCTTAAAAAAATCTACGGTATTATGTTTTAATTGTATTTGCAGTATACCAATACACAGTACTTACTAATTCAAAGTGTCCTAGCTAATTCAATATTTACATAACACAACCCATTATCTGTTTATCTGTATCAGTGTAATACATGTGTTTTTCAGCCCCACAAAGAGTATAATCAATTCTGAGGATCTTTTCTATCTGAATGATCTTTTATGCATTAGTGGCACTGCTAAAAATAGCTGACCTAATTTGGAGTAACAGGATACATTAAATGCTATTTTAAATAAATTCGTTCTAATTGCTTATTTCTCTGCCAGCCTATGGGTCTTAAATATAAAATATTTATTACATAGCATAACCAAAATAGAGCCAAACCGTGGCTCATAATGAATCACTTTGCATTTTTAATATTATCACAAAACAGGAAATCTCTTCCATAGTATTATTTTATAAGTTTGCCTTGTTCTCTTGATAATTGCTAAATAACACTGACTTAGTGACAAAGTTCGGTCAGACTGCAGACTCATAAGTCTACCATGCAGCCAACAGACAGCCACTTATAAGTATTTCCTTTAAAAAGGTTAAGCTTTAAGTCATTTCCTCTCCACTAATTTGGTATGCTTTTCTTTTGTAATCCCCCCACTTAAGAGGAATGCACAGCTCCATTAGAGCAAATAATCAAGTTTTTTTATTGAAATGAAATGGACATCTATGGATGTAAAATACCATTGCACATAGTTTGTCCTTGCATAGTATCTAAGACACGCTCTTTCAAAACGGTAATCCTTTGTGCAAAAAAATAAACGCCATCATTATAGAAAATCAGCAATGACATTGTTAAAATGCCATTAAGGCTTGCTCACAGTTTCCTTCTCTCCTTTCTCATCTTTGACATCCAGACTAATGGCATATTGGTGACACCCAGACAATTCATGGAGTAAATGGCTCAGGAATAAGGTTAGACATAGGTAATCGCCCTTAAACTAGTGCCACTGAGTGTAACTCAAGACAAAGCATTTCCTCATTAAGCCATCCCATATTGACCCTGTAACTCGATAGAGGCCATGAGCAAAATGTTGTAAAGATAGGTGTTCTGTTGTCATGACATTTGGAAGAGAAAGCACATGAGTGCTCATTAAAGGTCTTATGGTCACAGACATTCCCAAACGAATAAGAGCACAGGGGAAATGATGCATTGGTGCATACATGAACTATGAGCTAATAATGTTGTAAAAGCCTGTTTAAGATATCTTATGGCAGTCTGCTACTGCTTATACTGCATATTATGAACACATGTCCATTCAGATAAACCCTGAATGGACAACATTAAAGAGGCCCTATTAGGGTTTTCTGTTTCCTGTAGTGTGAGGTTTTTGTGCATTTAAATGGTCTGCAAAGGCTAAAATCCCTCTGTTCCCTCCAGAGGGAGTAACTACCTTGCATGAAATGCTTGATTGTACTCAAGCGTTTACTGCCCGAACATAGTGATGTCCCTTTGAAACACTCAGCTTCTATTGGCTAGCTCTCCAACACATTGTACATGATAGATTAAGGGGCAGGACATCTCTAAGCGGCTGACCAATCACAACTGAGCCGGCCAGCTAACCAATCAGAGAAGACTGGGCTCTGGTTTCAGACAGAGGGTGAAAAGAGGTGCTGCAGCATAGGCAGTATGAGAACAATAATTGAACATTAAAGTATGTAAGCATGTCACAGTAGAGGCACAAAATACAATGATGAACCTGAACATTTGTATAATAATGCTCGATTAATTAATACATAATTCAGAACTATTGTTTATTTTATTTGGTAATCTTAGTTCATCCACAGAAGAATTGCAAAATCTGGGTATTTTTCAGATGTTTGTGACAATGAGGTTGCAAGTCCCTATTGTGACCACTGAAAAAACCCTGAGGTGAGCGTCAGGACTTCACAGTAAAATAGATAAATGACACTAGGTGGTAGCAGAGCTCCCCGGGGCAGGGGCAGATACAGCTTCAACCTGTCCAATATCCCTTTTACACTCTTGATTTATACACTGTATATGTTCGGAGACCACACCATTTTTATTGTTTACTGCTGTCTGCCACACCTGAGGGAAAGAGTTTGTGGCATAGTGGACTAGTACGTTGGTGTTCGGATCAGGTGTTCGGCGCAGGGGGTCACAGGTTCAAACCCCACTGCAGTCAGCATGTCGTTGTGTCCCTGGGCAAGACACTTCACCCCAAATTGCTCGTGTGGGGATTGCCCACAGTATTGAGTATGTAAGTCGCTTTGGATAAAAGCGTCTAACATGTAACGTTTTAGCATTAAAAAAACATTTTATTTCCCTTCTGAATGTTTAAAATGCCACTATAGCTTTCTATTAATCTGTGTTCAGTGGTATTCAGAGTATCTCATTTAACTTGGTAATGGCTCCATTAGTTGTGTAGTTATGGTGTATAAGAGGCAGCAATTACCTGAGTCATAGCCTGCAGCCATTTCTACACTGTAGTGTGGTAGTTAAGTGAAGAGTTTCAAACAGGGAAAAATGGAAATAAGATTGACGATAGTGTCAGATCACTATTACAACCTTTGAATAATTCAGTACAAAAATAAAAAAGGAACAAGCAATGTCAAACATTTTCTTCATCTTTTATTATTTTACTGCCCCACAGAGTCAGCATGGGATTACTTGACAGTGGGGTGTGTTTTTCCTCAGTTGATGATCTGACGCTCGCAGACACATTGCCTGTGACTGTGAGGGGCTTTTAGAAGTAGTTTGCCACCCTGCGAACAGACTGGATGCTGGGGTTCTCCGCCTGCCACTCCATGTGGGTGCTGTAGTTTCTTCTCTCCACGATGTACATGCGTCCGCGGTAGTTAGGCTCCTCATACATCACCCAGCTGTTTGGGAAAATGAATAAAAACATTAACATATATTTAAATATAATACATGTATGACAGTGATATCTGACTTGTCGTATATACTGTCTAAAATCAATGTTTAGAGTTTAAAGGGCCAAAATATTAAAACATATTGTCTGTCATACATCTTGTATTTATAGCTATGTAGATGATTTATCGTTTCCCCTAAGATCTGAGACAGCCAACTCTAAGATAAAACCATATTTTCTTTTATATATTTTATTGTGGGGCAATTTATGTCTTTAATAGAGTGTTGGTCGATAGATAGGAGACAAGAAGTGAGGGTAGATGCAACTGGTACATGGTTAGTGTCTAGTAGCCCTCCTCCAAAACAATGTTGGTCAATAGAATTTAGTTTTGTAAGCATAAATAAGTCATGACTTATAAATTCCAAAAACGTATTTCCCCAGCCTCTCTCATTTACTCTGAATTATCCTCAGACATTGACAGAGTATCAAGGACACTTTTTCTAGAAAGTGATGCTGCTGTATAATGTCTAATGCAACATGAAAAGCTATATGCAATACACCCAAAAGCAAACAAAGTGGTCAGTGTGAATCTACTGATAAAAAGGTGTTTGTGCATGTCAAAACTAATAAATACATCTTTCAAATGTTTATTTGGGGGCGAACTGACCCTTTAAAAATGCACATGTTGGTGCTTGTAAGTTTTCTGAGCAGGTTAAAACACTCTGACCAACTGTTTCCCTGCTTCAAAGATACTTACGCTCCATCTCCATAAACCTTGACGGAGTTGACGCAGCTCTTGGTCAGACCACGAGCCTGCAGGAAGGGGCAGTCTTCACACAGCTCCACACACTGGCCTGAGAAGTTGTCTCCCTCGAACAGCTCCATCCTGTAGTGCTCTCCATGCTGTGGAGGATAATAGCATGCCCTCTCACTGATTCTTAGCAAAAATAGTCAACTTCAACTCATTGCATAGAACCAAGGTCTTTATAAGACAAGCACTGTGTTGTATAAGCCAACACATTCTATAGAAATCTACAGGTTAAATATTCACGGAGGGCAATATGTAAAACCCACGCTCTTCAATACGTCTCAAGTGCACTTTAATTATGTGATTTTCTTTCAGCTGATGGCGTTCATGTATTAGATGTGAAGACCTGCAAGCTATCTATATGCTTCTGTAGGCTACGCCAACACACTTATTTCTGAGTTATTATAAACCTATAGGAAATCATTCTGCAGTAATTGGAAAAACAGAAGTGCACACATGTGCCAGCCTAAAAAAACAACACATATTTGTCTGTCCCTGGGGTCTTTCTGTCTCTGTCTTTCCCTTACACACACACACACACACACACACACACACACACACACACACACACACACACACACACACGCACACACACACACACACACACACACACACACACACACACACACACACACACACACACACACACACACACACACACTTACCATCCTGATTGGCTTGCAGGAGCCCATGTGATCGTTTTGGGAATTCCAGCGCTGGAATTCGGGGTACTCTCCGTGCTCCAGAATGTACTGCTGGCCCTTGAAGTCTGGGTGGTCATAGCAGACGAAGGCCCCGCTCTCCACACGGACAGAGTTGACCCTGTTCATGAAGCCACGGTCCTGGAAGTTGTCACAGTCGCTGCAGATCTCCAGCTTCCTCCCGGTGAAGCATTTCCCCTCATAGAACACGATCTGTTTGTTAAAGCAGTGGAGATTCAAATATTAAACGGATACTGGAATGGAAAAAGTCGTAAAGATCTATTGTCAAAGTGCCACTCAACATTTAAAATGTGAAGTTGGACCAATCAGCTATCTCAACTGCCTTTGAAGTTGACATTTGTTTGTGTGCCGTAACATGATTTAGTTTCACTGCCATCCTCTGTTGTGGTACTCACCTTTCCTGAGTACTGAGACATTTTCCACTGTTAGCTGTTCCAAACTAGTCACAAAGTCTGGACAAATTTGGCCTCCCAGATATATATGGACAACAGGGAGTGTGGCGGTACCGCGAGGCAGAGGCAACAAAAGCACAACAATGGGGGGTTTAGACATTTTGCCACATGGACAGTTTCCCATACATGCGCCACTGCTGATATTGTAGTTTGGCTCTTTGGGTTGGACCAAACAATAGAAGGGGAGAGATTCTGCTATGATTGGGCTTTGGGAGTGATGTTGCAGAATATTATTTGGGTGGTGGTAGGAAAACAAACAAAGACATGAAATCAGAGGTGGAAGGACAAAGTGCACATAAGAAAATCCACCTTCTGATAACTTGTGTGAGTAACTGGGAAAATGTAAAAAGGTGTGGTCCTAGTTAATGTCTGAGTTTTGATGGCAGCAGATCTGATACTCCGAAACTGATTTTCCTCCAGCTTTTTTTCCAGCTCACTCTGTTGTATTTCTCTGCTGATCCAGGCACAATCCCTGGATACATTAGACCTTGACCCATGACAATTTCCCACCGTTAAAGCATCAAAGAGCAGCAGTTTTTAAGGTAAAACAGGTGGAGCAGGATACAAAACAGATAAAACCCTGTCTTTCATGTACTGCACGATTTCAGCCCCCTCTCTCTTTCTAAAGTGGCATAGAGAGGAGATAAAACACACACATTCAAATGATTCAGTGCACTCGAATGGGTCTTTTGAGATTAGAAAGTCCAACAAGGTTTGGTTTTCACATTAAAGCTGTCAATCAAGGCCATAAAATGGGTAAAACACTCGTGTGTTGGTTGTGAGTATTTCACTCAAAAATTAAAATATGTTAGTTTGTTTGTTCATGAGTAGGCCTCTTTTATTTAAAAGAAATTCATCAAAAAGAGATATGATATAATAGATTTTTAACATATTTTTGAAAATAATTTGCTGCTTTTTTCACCCAGACACTGGTGGATTGGAGGTACGTAGGAACATTGAGTTCACATTTCTTTAGCACCAAATCAAAAAAAATTCTTTTATGAAGCATCTCTCCAATAGTTAGAGACATTTATTTCAAGTGTTGAACAGTTGAGCAGGAGTGCCAGTCTTTCATTTTCTTCCATTAGTGCTATTCAAGTCCATTCAGGCTTTGCATAGAGGCAATTCACGATTCTGAAGCCGAGGTTAGTGAGAGCACCGAGCTGCAGGCATTACACCTCATATAGGCAGTGCTTGAATTGGAATGAAAAAGGTGCCAGTACTCTAAAATCAGCAACTTTTTCAAATCAATTTTATATATACAGCCCACAAACAAGAATTTGGCTACTATAATGCTGGTGGGTTTGTCTCTTTACTACTGTATATTTTAGAAAGGTTCACTGTACTTAACATTTTTTATGATAGGCAGCGGATATGGCTAAAGCTCAGTAAGGTCAATATTAACTGAAAATATAGCAATCAAAGTCTAGATCTTCTGCTGAAGACACATGAAGCAGAGACCTTTCAGGTGAGAGCCCCTCTGGTGGTGTTCAACATTAATGACAAGGAAACAAAGCTCTGATCAGAAGCATTTTTTATAAAAAGCTTTAACAAAATTAAGTATTTCTGTACATTTTGAATGCAATCTAACTTTCCAACTCAGAAAACGAAAAAGTGCCAAAAGTCTTCTCACATGGCTGAGCTGCTTTGCAATATACTTCACCACTGAAGAATACAAATATGTATAAAGTAAACTATGATGCAATCTAACTTTCCAACTCAGAAAAATGATAAAGAGCATGAACAAAGAACATGTAAAAACAAATGCAAAATTTGCACAATCTAAAATGAGAAACTGTAACTGCAAGTAACAAAGTCTGAGCCATGGTAAAGAGTTACATTGAACACCAAGCTGATCAGATAACTCCCTGGTTGGTCTGAAGTCCTTCTATCTCCAGGATCTGTACAAATCGGCACATTATGCCAAAAGTCTTCTCACTGGGTGAGCTGCTTTGCAATATACTTCACATTGTTAGAAAAGGCTCCAGAAGGCCTTGGGGACATCAGTATCAGGGGCTGGAGCTGGACAGGCTCTTTCATCAGCACTTCTCCTTCCCTTTGCCAGCCAGGACCTCACATACTGTTCCGGATTGAACTGTCCTAGTGATGGTCCATTACATTTAATGAAAACCAGGCTGGACAGTCGGCTGACAGAGAGAGCATTCCTTTTTGCAGTAAGGATATCGTTCATGCAGCTGAATGCCCGCTCACACTCACTAGTGGAGACAGCGATGGTTCGGACTGCTTTCAGTAGAGGCTCCATGGCAGCAGGTGTACGGGATGCCCTGGTTTCCTTGTTCGCGAAAGCCCTGAACAGTCTCTCTTCTGTCCACTTTCAGCACTTCGCACAAACGTAGCACCTCTACGTCCCCATACTGTACGTCTAACTCCTCTTCAGGCCAACTTCCAGGATGGATAACTTTCATGTCCTGGATTAGCTGATTGTCCCGGGCCTCCCGGCCATGTAATGGGATTTCTCTTGTGCTGACATGAGAGGAGGTTGTGGAAGTCATTCTGTGTCTCAGATTCTCTACCATACTGCGGAAAAACTGACCTGCATGAATCTGTACAAGCCTGCCATTCTCACGCAGGGCAACACCCTTGAAGGACTTCTCAGCTAGAGCTGTATGAACTGTAGTCATGTGTGGGCCAGGCATGGTGACCATGGATTCAAAAACTCGTATTTCTCGAGTTAAGAGCCTATCTGCTGTAGGCAGTGTCATCTCTCTTTTTTGGAGTTGCCGAGAGAGGTCGCTGAGCTCTGTGAGCGCATCGTACATCAGTCCCAGATTGCTGACAAACGTTGCAGATGTGAGCACATCATCCAGGCCCTTGTACTTTGCTCTGTCTCTGGAATCCCTGCTCGTGTCGTTTGCAGCATTTGTGAAGTGATCATGAAGCACTCGGTAGTTTTCCCAGACTGCTCTGACGCTCCTTTCACTTGAAGCCACCCAGCGGATGGACAAAACACGCCCTATCACCAGGAGACGCTGTCCGACTGCTTGCGCACACTGCGCTAACTGCCTCTGATTTTTGGGGGAGGCATGGAACAAGGAATAGAGTTTGTCAAAAAAGATCTGGAAATGATTGAGCCCTGAGACCTCCTTGACCACATCCCCAACTGCCAGCTCTAGACGATGATTGGAGCAGTGCCACACAAACAGGCTTGGGAATTTACTACACAACTGGGTAGCAACGCCTGTTCTCTTCCCTAGCATGACTGAAGCCCCATCACATGCAAAAGAAACGAAACACTGACCTAAAAAGTCCTCGTTAAAATCTCTTCCAAGACACTCCATTAACGCCTTTGTGATGTCATCAGCCGTTGTTCCATCCAACTCGATCAGCTCCCAAAAAAACGTTTCGGGCTCAGCATCAGCTAATGCTGAGCGTAGACACACAACAAGCACCGTTTTACCACTAATAGTGGTAGATTCATCGACCAAAACACAGAGTTTTCTTTGGTTTTCTGTAATGTCTTTTGCCATTTTTTTTCTTCAGCTCATGAGCTATGTGGTCGATGATTTCGCCACAGGTTTTATTGGAGTGCAAAACCCTGCCCACGTTCAGCCCATTCAGTTTCTGTACATTCAAATTAATTGGCATGTCTGTGAATGGCCGGCTATGTTTGCCAATTTTATATGCCGTTCGAAAAACTCTGATAGTGGTGTCTAATTCAGATTTATGCATAGACTGCACTTGATGTTGAATAGTTTCACGTGAAGCAGATGTAAGGATGTCAGCAGCTTTTACATGGGCTTGTGATTCTTTATGTTCTTTGATTTTTTTTCTCAGGCTAGCTTGTTGTTTGCCCTTGTCAACACCGAAATGAGACACTGCACACTCACCCCATTCAGTTGACAGTTTCAGTCCTTGTCCAGTGTGTATTCCCAAAGATTTGACATCTCTGCATATCCGACATCCTAGCTTCTTATCTTTAAGAAGGAGCCATGCATTGGTCTTGCAAAAATATTGCACCTGGTCCGTTGTCCAGCAGTCAGGTGCATCGCTTTGCCCGGTGTTGGTGGTGGCAGTTGCGCCAGCAGCAGCTAACGTTAGAGGCTCTGGAGGAGGAGGCGGAGCTAGTGCTAATGCTAATGCACTAGAACTTGGAGCAGGAGGATCAACCAAAGAAAGCTCCCCATCAGACATAATTTCCAACACAGGCACAGCATTCTCTGTATTTGAAGTTTCTTCCGGCGACAACCGCTGTCTTTTTGCACTTTTATTAATCCACGCTAACATTTTAGAAATGCTAATTTGTGACGTGACTTGCTTTCCTTCTCTCGGGGGCGTGCCTGCTCTGTTCTATCACTCTACATAGCCACCCACTGGGTGGGAGTTGCACTGCATAAACACAACACACGTGCATCTAGGTATGTAAATTGTAAAGCATTAAAACATGGTTTTACTAACAGTTTTCAGTATGTTGTTACTTCGGCATTATTATTATTATTATTATTTTGAAACGTGTATTACTATTAAATCACGGTCAAATAGGTTAATTTTGACATAGTCGTTTCCACCACAGTATTTACATGGAGAAGATAAGCCCCGCCCCCTCTCCAGCACGTTCTGTTTGAATGACAGGAGTAAACAGCTGACAGCCGCTGTGAAACTCCAGCGGTTAGAGCGATGAGAATGTCCGTTCGGCACCTCATGACGCATCTACTGAGTACCGGGCGGCTGTATATATATGGATGTATAATAAGAACGGCGGGAGAGTGTTGAGTACTGGCACGGTGCATGAGTACCGGAGTACCGCCAGCATGCCGGTACTGAGCAAGAAGTGCCGGTACTCCATGGGTCAGAACCAGAAGTGCCGGTACTGCGTACCGGTGAGTACCGGCCCAATTCCAGCACTGCATATAGGTCAGACATAATCCACCTAAAGCAAACATACTGTGCCCTTCAATAATATCCTCCTGTCCTCCTGTGACGAAGGTAACTTCGTCACAAGGTTCGTCACGAAGGTAACTTCGTCACTATGGACTGACTGCTTCAGGCCGGGTAATTGTGTGCACCTGGTGTCCTGTGTTGTCTCCTCCCCCCCTCACCTGTGTCTTGTTGTGCTGATTAGTGTGTGTATTTAGGCTCTGTTTCCCTGTCTGTTGGGAGGCTGGTAGTGTTTTTGAGATCTTTGTGGCTGCAGGATGGGTGGAAGGAGAACAGCAAGATTGAGGCTGTGAACTTTGTGCCCGGGATTTTAATAAATGCCCACGTCGGGTTATATTTTTGGACGTTCTGCCTCTGCCTCCTTGCTTGGTCTGGGCCGCTCAACGGTCAGCTTCACAATTGGTGTCAGAAGTGGGATTTGACCAAGTAAGGAAGTGAACATTTTGAGAGGAAAGAAGAGGGACCAAAGAGAGGAACCGCGGCTGGGGGTGGCTATGCCTGGAACGGACCACGGGGCCACGGCTGTTGAGGCAGCAGGAGACGAGAAACAAGCAGCAGGAGACGAGAGACAAGCAGGTGGAGCAGCTGGAGAAGGAGAAGAGGGAACTCCAGGAGCGCCTGAAGAACCAGGAGAAAAAGATTGACTACTTTGAGAGGGCTGAACGCATTGAACATGAGCAGCGGGAGGAGGAGGATCGGGAGTACCAGGAGCGTCTGCGCAAACTCGAGGAGCAGGAACGAAAGCAGCGCGCTCGTCAACAGGAGATCGAGGAGCGGGAACGCCGTTGTGACAAAGAGAAACGGGTCCCAGCCGAGGAGAAACCCAAGGATTGGAGCGAAAAGGAGGTTGCAAAAGACACTGTGCTTCCTGGGGAGAGGGGGAAGGAAATGTGACGACGAAGGTAACTTCGTCACTATGGACTGACTGCTTCAGGCCGGGTAATTGTGTGCACCTGGTGTCCTGTGATGTCTCCTCCCCCCCTCACCTGTGTCTTGTTGTGCTGATTAGTGTGTGTATTTAGGCTCTGTTTCCCTGTCTGTTGGGAGGCTGGTAGTGTTTTTGAGATCTTTGTGGCTGCAGGAAGGGTGGAAGGAGAACACAAGATTGAGGCTGTGAACTTTGTGCCCGGGATTTTAATAAATGCCCACGTCGGGTTATATTTTTGGACGTTCTGCCTCTGCCTCCTTGCTTGGTCTGGGCCGCTCAACGGTCAGCTTCACACCTCCTAAGGTTTGAATACAGCTAACTCTGCACCTCTGACAAATGCAGATATTCATGTTTGCGAAAGACTCATAAATGACAGAAGTAGACAAAGGGTGGACGGCTCTTGCACAATGCGGGAATCTGTGAATTTGCTAACTTTAACCCCTGAACACAGTGTACCAGGCTGGGTGAGTTACTAAGCATATAGACTTAACAGAGAAACACCAGTTAATGGAATCTAGAGTGGATGAATACATCTCAGTATTTGGCAGAAACCGAGACAGAAGAATCAGCAAGGTATGCACACTTGAATTAAACCTTTTTTGTTTGTTATTTATGACATTTATGTAACACTTTGAAATGTTTTTCAAAACAGATCATATACATTCAATATTGATTATACATGTTTTGCTATTATTTAATGTACAATTTCATGACTCTGTGTATGCATGCTAACGCACCTGACATTGCACCGAATTATATTTATGTATATATTTTAAATCAGTTCCTTAAATCATGAGATACACTCACAATAAAAAGACTTACAGGAGGAGGTCAATGCAAATGCCATAATATCTAGAGTACTGCAGGTACTGTATACATAATCAAATCTGTGCTTTATTTTTCAACAGCTGCAGTATTGAACAATGAAGTTCTTGGTGTTGGCTTTAACCGTTGCTCTGCTGTTTACAGCTGGTGCGTCTGTCACTCATTCTCCACTGAATAAACACAAGCCCTGCTGCTGTGCAACAGAGACGTCTGCTTTTGTCTTTACTGTACAGAAACAATCTCAGCAGACCTGTCAGACACTTAGTAGCAGTTTATAGGAGTCATATCTAAGAAATGAAATGATTACATGTGAGAGCACAGTATCTACCTGAGGCTTCACACACATTTAACATCGAAGTAGATTAAACCTTATTACCTTTTCAATCCATTTCATTCCACTTGCTCATTGGGCTAGGATTCCTACAGTAAACACATTCACAGAATTATAAGAGAAACAAATCACTTGAAATATTGCTTATGTCCTTTTTTTTATTTTTAGGTGACACTCTTGACTGCCACCGCTGTGTCTCCAAACAGGCCGGAGGAGCCTGTGATCTCAGTGTAGAGACGTGTAAACCAGGGAAGGATGCCTGCGCTGCTGCCAGCTTCCTCACACCCCCACGTGAGTGTTTCAACACGCTGAAACTCTTCTATCAATAACAAGTACATGGACTCAGTACATTAATCAATATAACATGTGAATATTATCTTTGCTGTGAATCATAGTCAAGTTGGACGAGAACACCACTGTATACAAATCAGAGGGTCATGGTGGTGGTGATACTAATGATTTTAGAAAATAGCTTAAGGCCTCTTGTGGCTCCATTGTAACATGTAGTCAGTTGCATGTCAATTAACTGAAACAGTTTGTAAAATGTTTGGACATTATGTAAATATATCAAAGTGCATTGGCTCTTCCACAGTGCGGTGCTTCTTATAATGAAGGACACGTTTTTTGTTAAAACCTTTTCCCCTTTTTTAGATGGCCAATACCAGAAATGCATGGCTCTTGGAGACTGTGAAATGCTGAAGATGAACTCCTACATCGATATCAACTGCTGTATCGAAGACATGTGCAACACCTTATAAAAATGTAATGTTTGGCTTTGAGCAAGGCACCTAAAGGCAGTGAATCCTGCCAACAGTTGAAAGTTGCTCCAATTTGTGAATGCATGGGTTCAAAGCGGCTACTTTGAGAAGAACAAAACGTTTGTTCTATCAACCTGTTCCCTTGAAAAATAAACATGTTTGACAAGGATCATTTTGTCATTGTTATGCCTGGAAATCTATAACATTTTGTAATTATACAAAGTCTACCTGCTATTACCTTCTGAAGTTAAACGGTTCCTGTTAAGGCATGAGTTTTATTTTTATCAGGTTGAGTTTTTGTAGTGGTCTTTTCTTAAGCGTCCTTAAAAAAGTGCTCAAACGCATTAATCTTTGTTAGACACCTATCAAAGATGGAAATATTTCTCACCAGCTCTCAAGGATTTTCAACGGCCTTTCACATTATTCCTTTTTAAAAACATCTTACATTTAATGTTCGCTGAAAAACGTCTTTAAGTGAGAAATGACCCCCTTAGGAGTCATTTATGAAGAGGAAAACTCAATCTGGTTCGCCAGGGCTGTCAGGGTGTAGTTGGATCAGATTGCATTGACAGTGAGCAAACATCCCACCAGCTGTCGCCAGATTCAGATTGTATTATTGCTTTCTCCTCACTGGTGCTCTGAGGAACATGACATCACCTTTTTCTATCTGAGCCCCGCCCACAAGTGAGAGGAGCAGACCAAAGAAAATAGTCATTCAAAATGCTCTGCTTAAAAATGTAGGCAAATTAATAATCCATCACTCTCAACAGTAAAACACATTCAGAGAAAGTACCACCTTTTGTCTTTATATTAACCACTGATATAGGAGCGCATCAAATCGTATTTTATAAAACGGACAAGTCAAATCAAGCAATCTGATTGGTTCTTCCGTGATATAATGAGCGTATAACTAACAAAGCTTAAGATGGAAACAAGTAAGGCATAATGTGCAGCAAGGACGCTCCGGACGCTCACATCAGACAAAATAAGTCCGGTCGAAACTAACTAAATAACAAGGGGGGTTGTAACCACGCCCCTTAGCTGTGATATAATGAGCATATACCACGGCCTGTCGTGAGCTATTGCTTGAGTCTACTATTACATTGAATTCTAACTGTTAAAAAGACCAGCAACACATATTTAGTTGGCACAATCAAGTTTCAATAAATACAATATTTTAGATTTTCTGCATTGCTTACTTTCACTAAATCTTAAAAACATAATAATCTACCCTGCATCCTGAGCTCTCCTCAAATGCACCATTAGAAAGGTAGATAATATTGTTTAGCTGTAAATTGGCCCTTTAACAGTGTATGATTAGATTTTTATTTTCAACTCTTATTTTTTTCACTTTTTTAGTTCCGTTGTATCTTCTATTTAGATATTTCTTTGTTGTATAATGTTGTATTTTCTACTCTTTTTTAGTGTTGTATATATTACCGTCTCTTTAAACATGTTTCTTTTAAATGTTGCTTATAAAACAAACCTTCCCTGCCTCCCAGGGGACAAAATAATAATCCACACTCAACCCTGCAGTACATAATCACTTTTTCCTTTTAATGATTACAATCAAAAACATTTGTACAACATTTTCAACATTAGAAAATGGATGCAGATTTTTTTTGGCTGACAGTAACCGCTATGCAAACAAACTGAGGGACAGAGAAGTGGGTACTGCGTGGAGATGAAGTAGAAAAAGAGCTGTTTATATTGGAGGACAGCCGGGGATGTATCAGAAGAAACGTCCACGTTTTCTTATTCGTTTCCAGAGCGTATGCATGGCAGACATGACATTTGTCTTATCTCTTGCTATTTAAACAGAGAAGGACTCGTTGCCTATATGGGAGCAGCATAATGAGGAGCTAAGATGCATCAAGCCACTACTATCTCTGGCCATAGTTACGGTAGTCGTTATTACCGAGCACAGGAAAACATTTGTTCTGATACACCCTAATGAAGCTCTGTGTTTTGCATCAGTGTCAAACACAGACATGGAGGAGGGGTGGACTGTGGGAGACAAGGGAACCACCACTCATCCTTTTTTTTGTTTTTTTCTAACACACAAAGAAAAACCAGGATGACAAAAGGGAATAGGAGATACTGATAAATAACAGTGGAATCAGAGCCATAAATAGACAGTATTGGATATTTAGGACCCTGGAGGGGTGGAGTCAGCTGAGGTGGTGAAGAACTGGCAGCTAGCCTTCAAGTAACGGGATATCCCAGTGCAGTGTCCTGTGTGTTGATTGGGCGGCTCTACATCATGGAGCAGGACGTTTTTCCTGGTTGCACGCCGCCTTCCATCTTCTCTGCCTCAAGGATCATCCTCCGGAAAACTTCCACAGCCGTCTGACAGAGAGAGTAGACACACACACACACACACACACACACACACACACACACACACACACACACACACACACACACACACACACACACACACACACACACACACACAACACACACACACACACACACACCACACACACACACACCACACCATCACACACACACCACACACACACACTACACCCACACACACACACACACACACACACCACACACACACACACACCACACACACACACACCACCCCACCACAACACACACACACACACACCAACACACACACACACCTAAGTCACACCACTTGGAATTTTCCAGTAGAACAAATTACATCCAGTAGAGAGAGGCACACTGGCTTTATGCACAACAAAGAAGGTGTTGTTTTGGCAAATATAAAGACATACACACACTGTTGTCTGCTATGTTAATTTGAAGCAGATTGTGTTTCCATTTTCAAACTGATCTAAGTTTCCTAAATACATAATATATATCAAGATCTGATTATTGTGGCCTTTGTGGCAACTTTTTTGATTACTTTTAGCTCACGTTGGTCAAGCCTTAGCCTGTCCCTGGAAGAAATGTAGGGAATTATATTAAGTTATAGCAGTTACAACTTGCTGTAGCTCAAAGGCTGTGGTGGATACACTTTTGAACCATTGTTAAATCTGCGTGAATTAATATTTCTGGCCACTAGGGGGCAGTAAAGTTAGCTCTAAACACAACTTTGATATATTATCGAGTGAATATATAAAAGCTGTTATCCAACAGTTATTTACACATTCAAAAGGCACAGAGCAATATTAGCATTTAGATATGTGCCTGTTGTTACTTGAAGTTCAATATACAGTCTGTATCTGTGGTTACACTGGTTTTTTTGGAGCTTTTTGGTGAAATCAGGTGATGAGAGCAGTGCGATTGAAACACAAATGAAGCACAAGTTGAGGGCCTTTTATCCCAAACAATGAGCTGAAAGACGTTTAAACACTTGGTAGAGAAACAAGTTGGGTAGCATTTCATTGAGGATCTGCCACCATGACTCACCACTTAAAAAAAGACAGATTTAAACAAAAAAAGTCAAAATACGTCTGATGTAGGTGAAGATGCTAGATCCTACATTTCCCAGAATTCAACTTGTCATCATCTATTGGTCAGACACTCCCCACCTGGTAGACACACGGATTTCATACTGCATACCCCCAAACGTTTACTGGTAACATTTTTAAGGGTGTAAGCTCACATCTGGTTCATAAACAAATTCTCTATTGGGATCAACAGACAGATAAATAGTTCTTCATAAGAACCATCCCAAACATAAACAAAGTGCTGTTATCTATGATCTCTGCAGTTTTGACTCTTACCTGGTTCTCTTTAGCTGAGGACTCCATGAAGGCAGCGTTCCAGGATTCGGCTAATGCTTTTCCTTCTTCACAACTGATTACTCTAAAATGGAAAAAAAAACATAGATCAAGTTCAACCTATGGATTCTGCTCCCACTGACTAAGGTATTACTACTCGAGCTTTCTCCTTCTTTTGGGTCATCTGTGAACAAAACATTAACATCTGCTCTGTATTTCTGTTTGTGTGATATGAAGATGAAAATGAGGAAATCAAATAAAAACTGACAAATGCTATGCCCCATGTGTATGCCTATTGTGAATGGTTGACCTAATGTTCAATTTGAAGTGTGTTGGGACATACCGCTCCATATGTAGGTCGTTCTTGTTTCCGACGAGCATAATTGGAACTCTGCAATAGAGGGAAAAGTAAACGGCAAATTGTCATGTATGTTTGATAAATGACATGTCTTGGAAAGCCTAAGGCAGCATAACAAGAAGATACAATGAGAAAGGCGAAGAACTTACTGAACCTTTCCCACCATGTCCAATAGTTTTTCATGGATAACTTGTACGACTTCAAAGCTGAAACAAACAAGGGGAAGTTTCCTCTTAAGCCTTTGAATGCCGTTTCATCTCATTATACAGAACTTCAAATATCCTTTTGATAAGGAGGGGAGGAAAAGTATACCTTTTATTGGATGTGACTGAATAGACCAGAATGTAACCGTTGATATCTATGGAGTAGGTCTGTGGGAAGATAGAGTACTCATCCTATAGAGATAACAAATAAGGGATTAAAAGTTATTCTGACTAAGTAACGAGGCAGAATGAACAGTTAACTATTAATGTATATTTGATCAAATTCAGTAACTATACCTGTCCTGCTGTGTCGACCAGCTGAAGATGATACTCTTGTCCATTTATTGTGATCGTTTTAGTGAATGCTGCAGTCAAAAGAAAAGAAAGTTGAACCAATAGAAACTATACATACCGATGGATGGAGAGTGTTGGAGCTATATATTGATTTATTTGTGAATATGCTGGGTTTTTTCTGTCGTATTTATTATGTTTTATCTTTTGTCGAACTGCGGAAGTCCAAAACAAATGTCTTTACGAGGACAATAAAGCGTGTCGTATTGCATCTTATTAATAGTTAAACATTTCTTCTCTTGCCGTTTTTGTTTCTTCTAAATATACCTTTTATTTAGTGTAATTTAAGTTAATGTAATTAGTTCCTTATGCTTTTATCTTGAAGGCATTTTTGGGCACTGGTTGATTTGGGCACCTGGTGATCGGGTGATATATATTGGAGATAAGGGCACCAGTATAGGCAAATGTTTTTTTTTACCAGGGTGAGCCAAGGAAAGCTATAGGAAAGGCTGCGGGACAGTAATAGATGAAACCATTGTTCATTGTACTTTTGGAAATCATCTATGAAACAACGCTCGACTTGGATCATTCCTCTACGTAAGATTCTCTAGCTGGGGCCAGTTTTATTTTGAGTTAAATGTTTTGCATTATTTCTTTACGATTATCCGCTACTGAGAGCAAGACCTTTTAAAGTAAGACTTACTAACACTGTATGTACTACACTATTTATACTATACAGTGCTATACGTTTTCAATCTGCACATCTCCGTATGGATCCATTTCGGTACCACTGAGTTCATCCGGCACAGGAATGTCAATATCTGCCTGGAGATGGGTCACATTATCTACAGGACTGAGGGATTGCGCTGCCTGCAGCATCTCGCTGACACTTCACTTTATACCCATCCAGAGATTATTTATAGACGCGGACCACACACTCGAGAAACGTAGGCTGATACGCGGGCGAGCGTGTCAGGAAACAGAAAAACAGCCTGCAGGTAAAGTTCAGACTCAAATCCCTGGAGTGTCTGGGAATATGTGTGTTTACAGTAGTAGCTTGATGAATTACTGTAAGTTACTCTCAATCAGAAAATGTACTTTTAAACTACCCTCAAGCTAAGTTCCCTCTCGCACTGATTTCCAAGCTTATTCCACTCAAGTCAACATATAAATCTGAACAAACTCCACACCAGCTGATTTTTCCAAAAGGTCCTAAAAATAAAGTCCTTCTTTTTGGCTGAAAGTGTGGAAGCTGAAATCAGCTGGTGTAGTGTTTGGACACATTTAATTAGAGGGAACATCACGCCCTGCTAGGTTACTATTCAGGGCTATAATTATTGTTTCTTCTTTCAGTGAAATCATGATATCAAAGTTAAAAAGGTGTACGATTGAGGTGATGGTAACAAGCTCAGTTTATATAAAACCAAAATAAAGAATAATGACACATTTGGACATTGTTTATTTGGAGATGTCTGAGTACTTGTCCAATACGCCCATCGTCAAATGTTTGCTATGCAATGACATACTATTTATAGTGTGATAATGTATGAGACCTGCAATCAATATCGGCCAGTAGAATGACACAATTAAAAACTGTAATGATAGTTGTCGTCTTTGTTAACTAAACTTCTCTAGTTCCAACTTGTCAAATGTAAGGATTTGCACCTTTTCTCTGTTTTAAATGATTACAAAGGAAATATGTTTAGTTAGTTTGGCCTTTTTTTTAAAGACAAAACAGCAATATGATGATGTCAACAAGGACTTTGAGGAAATGTAATGGATATGTTAATGCTATTTTATGACATTTTGTAAACAATATTTTTGTATCTCTAATTAAAATAATACTTTCTTGCATTAGTTGCAGCCCTATTGTAAATGCTGCTGCATTCTGTTATCATGTGACTGCAGTATCATACGAGGGTAACACGATAACAGCTACATCTGAGGTAATGTATACACTGAGTAAGGCCACAAGATGTAGCTAAAGCTTTGGAAACAAAGTGTAAGTGGACCTTTTGTTGAGAATTATTTTGTCAACAACAATTATCATATAGGTTTTGAACATAATTACACATTCTGTTGTGTGGAGTTTCACATATTTAGAATTGGAGGTTTAAGGACACAGGGTGTCACATTCAGGTTGGAAACACTTTGTGATTTTGGGGCTCCATAAGTAAAACTGATCAGACTTAACTTTGTAACACAAGGGAACACAGAGTATAGAAATTATTAATTTCAACATATTTAGTGTGGCTTTTGTTTATTTTCATCTAATGAGCTGGTCACAAGAGGAGGAATCTGAGTGGTTTACCACTTCAGCTAAACAGTTTCCTGTTTGTTTACAGAGGCTGTGACAGTCAACCTTTCCCACTTACTGTTTTCTATTGTCGGGTCATAGGAGTCCACAAACTGGCCTTCAACAAACTGAATGGTCAAGGAGGACTTTCCTGCAAAACACAAATGAATATTGTAAACAGATAACATGTGGTGAAATAATTCAAAATAATGGTTTGCAGTCCTTCGACTAGTGTTCATTAATCATACAGGACAAAACGACTTCGCTGATTGTGAAACAAAGTGTACTCATCACCATATCAGTCAAGCTTAAAATCACCTTCCTAAATCCCTATATAAATACCATGAGCTGTTACCTATATTAACTTAGTAGGCCACCATTAACATAACCCAAGTCTCTATGGTTGTGTTGGGTGATGCTGTGCTGGCTGGGCCTACAGTGCTTCTATCTGCGTGTGCCATCTTGCCATCCCGAACATCCCTTCACTGCATGCACATTGTGCTTCTTTGGTTTCAGATACGATCAAACAAACCGCACATTAATGCGTCAAATTCGGTTGGACATTCATGCCCCTCATAAAACATGGCACCAACTAAACCAGGGATAGGGTCACTGATGGAGTCGCATGAATAAGGATATTTAGCGTTAAAAAAAAAAAATATATATATATATATGGAACACATTAAGGGAGGCCTCATGTGATAAAACACGCAGAGCCATGTCTCACCTGGTGGCGCTCAGCCTCCTGCTGTGAGATGCTGCATGACAGACCTTACTCCCGATCATTAAAGTCTATTATAGGGAGCGTAATGGCTCGCATTATGGACCCATAAGGCCGATAAAATGTAGCCTCAGGGTCGCATCCTAGGCCCTGGATGTCTTTATTCTACCCATTTTTCATGTCGTTTGGGAACTTACCTACGGATCTGTACCCGAGGATGGCAATTTTTCGTGATTTCGGCTGCGGCATATCTCGTCCTGGTTATCGCATCTAGTCCTCGGGGTGGTGTGCCGCAACCTCCAACCAGAATGGCATCCAAATGTAAAGGCTGCAGAGATTCGGCATACAGCCTTTCAGATGACAGCAGGAATCACTCTTCTTTGCTATTTTTTTTAGAAAGATTTGAAATTCCAAAGCTTAGGAAAATTATGTTTATCGGTTCATGTGAAAAAAGCATGGAGTATCTGTAGATTTACAATAACTGCGTCACTCCCCTTTGCAATGTAATGAATAAGTAATGACTGCTCTGTTCTAATTGGCTACAAGAGGAGTAAAGGCGGGACTCGAGGCCTGTTGTAAAACTCTGATTGGATAATATAAATGCTCGTCAAACAGTGGTGCTAGCTTCCTGAAATCTGACTGGCTGCCACACGCGTTGTGATTTGCTGTGTGGTCAGGTCGTTCATTTTTTTAGGGTGAGGGAGCAGCGATACTGCCATTACGGCTCCAATTAAGATGTCATTATTTTTGTGTGTATTATTATTATTTTTAACATGGACACACTGTGGTATATCCATAATGATCCCTACAAAAATATAATTAATCATTCAGTTCTTAAAGTGGTTTGTTTGTAGATTTTTTTAAGCCCAAATGGGATGGGCACATTTTGGTGCATGACACTTGTTTATATAAAAAAGGACTTACCACGTACTTACTATTAGTAGTATTTTCAGTTTGTGTCATTATAGTTCTACTCCACTACATTTGAGGCAGACATTTTTAAAGAACACAATTAAACATAACTTAATGGTTATTGTCAAAAGGTTAAGATAAGTCTTAATTTGCCAACAGATGTGAATTTTCCATGCAACAAAACAGTATTTGAAGTAGGCCTAGTTATAACTACCCCATCAACTGCAACAATTGAGTGATTTACACAATGATGCATCAATAATCAGAATCCAGCAATACGAAATACTTTCTGTGGATGGATGAATTTATGCTAATAATGATTTTCTATGTTTATGTGTGTTTGGATTTTGCCAGGAAGGACTTTTACACAACAGAGTATTTTAACACAATAGTGTAAATTGTATTCATTAAGTGAAGGATCTGAATATTTCCTTTAGATGAGCAATAAATCAATTGAAATGTGCTTGTTATTTAACCAGAAATTGCAAATAAAAATAATATAAAAGGGAACTTCATCGTGGCAGTTTGAGGAAGGCATTACACCATTTAAACCAATACGGTGCATAACTGTTTAAAATTAGTAATATTGTAATGCGATAACTAAAAAGGTGCAATAAGGAATTTCTATCTCTTGGCACAGGTACAATACACAAAACAATATAATTGGAATTCTACCAAATATTTGGAATGAATAGTGTACTGTGCATGCTCTCACATTAGCCAGTAGATGTCCCCATAACACCATTTATATATTTCACCCAGGAGCCACCAGTACCAGAGGTCTGTCTGTCAGTGCTCAAATAACTATTATATATATTCCCAAAGAAACATCACCTTCTAATTATTGTTTATTTCTATCTGTGTCTTACATTTAGGTTCAGACTCTCGGTTTCTTAAGCAGTGCATCACTCTCTCCAAAAACCTCACACATAAATCAGACTACAGACAACCCTGATTATCTGAGCTGATAGTGTGTTCTATAATAGATGGTAAAATACCCATGTCTTAATATAACCGTGGCCTTAACCCAAACCACAGGCACGCAACAATACCATAGGAACTCAGGCCACAATTAGTGGGTAAAGCCAATAGGAATTCAATGCAGGCGTGGCAAAGGTGGTGGAAAGATGAGAGTCCTCTTTACTTTTAAACACTAATGTTGATCATGTGTGTCAATTACTTCACCAATGATACTGTGTGCAAAACAGAGTATTCTTGCTTTTTCACACAGTTTTTCACACAGTTTAAATGCCAGCTTAGAGAGTTTTGGAGCAAAACTCTAAAAGTAATTATATACTCTCTCAAAAATAGCCCCATACAACCGGGGGTGTGCAGGTTTTCTTGCCCTGTGACCAATGAAGTCCCCCGTTTCCCTGTCACGTCCCGGGCTATTACCACTTAATCACAGAAATGTCCAAGTCTCCATCAGTAAGACCCAACTGTTTTGCCTCCACACACACTTCTCAGCACTGGAGACAAGAAATCACTGGTGTCAGCAATAGGCGGTTTGTTCTACATGACATTGGGTGTCAAAAAAAAAAAAGAGAAAAAAATCTCAACTGAAATGGCTGAAGGGTGCCGGCAATCACTGGACACACACACACACAAATACACACTCATGCACATGAACGCTGTCACTTCCCTCTGCCTCTCCCTCTTACTCACACACATACACACACTCAGGAAATTATGATGACCAAGAATAGGTCACACTAGTAATACAGCCATGTACTATCCAGGGATTACAGTGTGCTGACATAGGCCAACAATAAATACCCCTGCAAGAACAACAGGTGTCTGACAAGATTGTTTCAATTTAATAAAAGGCTTACACAAGCCTCAGAGCAATAATACATTAAGCTCTTTTAGACATGTTGGCCTTTTATTGCTTCATCCCCTGTGATTGGAAAATTCCTTTATTTCACCCCAACAATTAATCTCAGAGAATCTCGCGTGCATAGAGAAGACAGATGTGATTGCGGTGCATGTAAGCGTCATGAGATCGATATTCTTGTCACGGACCAGTTTGAAAAAATTCACTTTGGATCTGCAATTTCTTTAGCTATGCGAGCTAATGGACATGCAGCTGGAGCTCGTGCGTCTGAACCCTGGGTGTGTGGCGCCCGAGCCAGCCTCTTTCAACTCCCTGTGAAAGCACCCCTGGCTCTGTTAGTATGCCAGCCTGAGCGCCAGCGGAGCGAGGCAGCCACATCCTCCAGCTGGGTCTGTGCCACCAACAGGCACCTGGACCCACTCGCAAACCTCATGAAACGCAATGCATATTTAACTCAGAGGAATGCATTTGCATCAGAGAGGCTGTGTAAGATGCTTAGAGGAGACCAATTGCACCTTTATTTACTTCATCTTTGAGATTTGTATACACCTATTGGGTGCAACAGAGCCGTTTTAACTGGCTGATTCACTCTTCAGGCTGTGCCTCAGCTGTTGGACCACGGCCAGAGTCACAGAAGCCTGAAAGACAGCCATCGTTATCCAACTCTCACAAGGTGTCATTGTAGGGATCCAATGATTACCATATCAGCACCACATGAAACATTTATGGCTTGCTGGCAGTGATGGTCTGGCAAGCATCCTAATTTCTAGAACAGAGCTTGTCAGATCCCATTGTTTCAAGTTCTTGTAGACATGGGCAGGAAATCATCGGGGATGGAACTTGTTATGAAACTATGCTGTCATTCACGGTCAACAAAACAACTTTTCAATATGAGGTTCTCCACAAAAGCTAACCTACCACCAAGCCTAGTTCAAGTAACACACTATACATGAACATTGTGGCTATTGAGACTGCTCCTTCCTTCCTACACTCTTTGTTTTGATGCTACACTGCCTACATGGCAAACCTTATAATGCAAACTAATGCTGCTACCATTACCAAGCTCAACTAGACAGTCTGATCTTGGTACTTTAGGATTATGATACTGATAATCAGAATACATAGGGATATGGAAAGCAATTCAGTGGTCAGAACCAGGACTTTTTGAACTAATAATTATGATTGCGCCAATGCTGGTCGCTTGCATCATACATGCTGCCATGAGTATCGCCACCTATCAGTGTTATGGACCGTAGCTGTCTATTCTTTGGGAGCAGTGAGTTTAGGTTTTCTTGGGAGGAGTTTTCTTTATCAAAATTGAGGATCTAAAGATTGAGGGTGTCCCACAGCGAAGTGTAAAAATTGTTAAGCCCCCTGAGGCAAATGTGTTATTTGTGCTGCTGGTATAAATCCTAAAACCTGGAAGTTAGTTCGCCTATTGGTTCACTCGTCTCAAAGTTAATGTTTTTTTTAACACGTTTTTGATTTAACACCTGAAATGAGGGCTGGGGTTTAGAGGTTTTGATATTCAGTTCTACTATTGTACATAAAAGAAGTTCGTAAATACTCTATTTTTGATCTTCAAAGATTTTTCGTGTCTTAATAAAGGTGGCTACTAACAAGCTAGTAAATGAGATGACTGATGTTATTGGGGTCATTACGGTCACTACTCACTAGTCTGCCTTAGAAGCCTTGTTTTGCAGACCATTCATATTACATCTTTTCGACTACGAACATTTAAAAAAAAATCTTGAATTTTAAAGGCTTTTACATTCAAAACCACACATTTGTGGGCCCTATTGATTGTGTTGAATTTGGAGGTATTTTTGCCATTTGTCCCCAATAATTTCTGACACTGTTGGCATCAAGCTGTGTATCTGATGCATCTTCAGAAGGGAAGTTCATTAATGTCCACCTGGGTCTCTGCTGAGCTTTCATGGGAGTCAGGAAGTCAGACCCTGACCAAATGAATGAATCAATCTTGTTGCCATTGCAAAGCATCGACACTATCTGATCAAGATGACTCTATAGCGTCGCTCACTGTACGACTGTTTGTGTGTAGCAGTCAGTGGCCTGTAGGAGTGGCAGTGAGCAGGTGAGACCCAGATAGGCTGCTCGCTGGTACTTCATCACCCCGCTTGTTGTTGTCACAGCCACAATTGGTTTGTGCTCCCCATCTGCTGCATCAGCAAAGTCGGAACTGATTTGGTCACTTTGGAGCCCAGTTAGTTTTGCTCACTGCTCTTCCCTGTTGATTCCAGCCATCATTACAAATGGTATCTTTATTCGGCGGAGTTAACCCGGATAGTGCTCTCCCCTGGGTGACTTTATTATCTATTCATCATGTTGTCCCAGTTTATCTCAAGATGAATCTGGCTGCCTCCCTACACATCTAACTACAGATACCTAGCGTGTGGCCTGGGGAAAGAGATTACAAGATACACAGCGGAGGTGCTTCAGTTAGAGTTGATAAGGGGGTGACAAATATTCAAAGAAGATGCAGAATGGTTTTGAATGTGCTCTTTCAGAACCAATCCATCTTCAACATAGGCTTGAATATATTAAAACCGCCTTGATAAATATAGTCATTTCCATGTTGACAATTTGCACAACCAGCTAGGGGCAACCTCAGTGTGTCCAATCTGGTGAATAAATGAACATGTGAAACATTGAAATGAAATGTTCTTGGCTTGTATTGAGCCTCGAAGCTGACTTGTTGGACACTCCCTTACATTTTCTCCCCACTAATTTGCATTGCTGAGTAGATGCTTTTTGTCACCTGGAGGTTTGGACAGAGCAATGTTGCATCCAATTTCCAGATGGCAATTGAAATGTGTGACTTATCCCCAATTTTTGACTAAAAAGCACAGCCGCTTCCACAGACTCCATTAGCCGGGGTGGATGCGTCTGTGTACACAAATGGAAAAATGGAAAGTGTCCAGTGGTGTGAATATTCACATCTGCACCTGCTGAATAATAGACGATTACCTTCTCTGGTGGCTCGTCATCAACCCCATTCACATGCGCTCTCCCATTTCATGATGCTAATGTTGTTTGGGATACTCAGTAGGCCTGCAAAATGCATATTTCTTGTTTCCTAGACCTGATCTTGTCTTGTTTAAAGAGGAAACATATTCTTCAATAAGAGTGCTGGCTTCAGGGAGTAATGTGTCTGCAATATAGACTCTAAAGCGCTTCAGGTCTTGGCAGGTACTCCTTACATTTCAGGAGAGAGACACCTACGGCAGAATCTGTGGCAGCAGGGCCATATATCATCCGTCATCGCCAGAAGCCTCCGCAGTAATGAACAAGTAATAATGGTATATATCTTGAACTTGAGTCTCTAAAGGTAGCTCATCCAGAGTCATTATTGTGCCACATAACCAGATGAGCTTTCTCAAATGAGATCATTTTTGTCACCCTGAGGACTTGAGGGTGTAACTGTTCTCAGAGTGAATAACTCATCCTCATTTGGTGCTAATGGGACACCGTATTAAGGTGTTGTGTGAATGCGGGAGGAATGGTAAATCCCATTTTCTTGTAATTTAAATCTCAAGCTGTTTCCGCACATCCATCTGTTCCTCTGGTAGAAAGAAAGACTCATGGGGGGGGGGGAGCATGCACGGGATAAAGAAGAAGCATTTAATGAAGATTCATGGCTCACAGGATTATGACAAAGTGCTAGGCGACGGTGTGTTATGGAGAAGTATGTCATGATGACATCTCTCACAGAAATTAGCATTATTCACTGTCCATATCCAGCTTCCAGCCCACCCCCTCCCTCCATCTGTCCATCTCAGCTTTTTCCAGGTATCACAATGCTACAGTTAACCCATAATGAGGAAATTGCATGTGAAGCCATGGGTTTCCTACATATTTGACAGCATGTGTTCTGAGCCTCGTGTTGCCACTCCGGTGATGTGTTTGAAAATGGAGGGGGGGCTACTCTGTTACAGCTGGGGTGTAATTTTTGATTTAAATAAAGGATGACAGGATGAAGCAATCCTGCTGTTTGTGAAATTAGCAGTGGCAAATACACACAAGAACATTAGATCTGCTCCACAGAGCGAGGGTTGCATAAAGACTTTGTGATTAAGTGTCAGTCAGAAAGCATTTTCCAAACAAAGTTACTGTGGTATGAAGGTGTTAACATTTACTAAAACATTTCTGTATGAGACATGCTGCACAAGCAGCAGCCTGGATGGGCAATACACCCCAAACAGCCCTATCTCCAGTGTCCAATTCAGCAAGCCCATGATTCAACCTGTCAGTCATAAGTGCTGATGTAGCCGTGCTCACAGCAGAGCCACTGAGTCCCCAGAGCTGGATATCACTGCTAACTGTCATCCAAGTACTTTGATTACTGCACTGGGAGAAGAATGATGACTAAGGCCACTCTAAGTCCTGGTCAGACTCTGTGAGGCTGTTGAGAAAAGTGGATCAAGTCCAAGGTCCCATTTACACCCCGAACGTTTATATAAAGTGTTTATGGCTCATGAATGTACACCTCTCCTGTTGCTAAACGCTTGTTAAATACACGAGTGACACCTTCTGGAAAATGATTGTTGGTATGAAACAATACATATCCGAAGAATAATTGCGTTTATTCTAAGATACAAGAGTCGATTTCTGTCTTTATGTGACAAAAATACTACATTATTAAAGGTTTTACATGATCAGAGAACAATACGTTTCTCTTTTCAGCATAAGCAATACACACATTTAATACATTGATTAGCATTCACTGTAATGTTGTTGTACTTAAATATAAGTTCATGTTAAGTGCTTGTGGTGGCGAAGTCGATAGGGACTTGGCTTGGCAACTGGAAGGTCACCAGTTCAAGTCCCGGCAAGACCAAGTGCTACCGAGGTGTCCCTGAGCAAGGCACCGTTCCCTACACTGCTCCCCGGGCGCCGTTCAAAATGGCAGCACACTGCTCCTAACACAGGATGGGTCAAATGCAGAGAAACAATTTCCCCACGGGGATTAATAAAGTATATCAAATATCAAATGTATCTATATCAATATATATAGAGATAGAGAGATACATCCAAGTTCAGTTAAAAGGGCACATCGTATTCAGAGACTTAAGAAAAAAACATAACCTTAATAAGACAGGATTATAATGTAAACACAGCTGAAGTTAAGTCTCAAGGTGAACGATATTTAGACGTAAAAATGTGCAGTATGTTTGACACAGCAGCTCAGTGTACATGCTGTTCTGTTCATGCTGTGCACTGCACTGTAAACATGTATTGAATGTCTGTCTGTCCTTAAGAGTGTTCTCTTCTGTTGCTCTGGAGTTTATCATGGTTTCTTCCCTGTTGGAAAGAGCTTTGGAATCTTTTATTTGTCTGAGTTGATCCTGTAAGGTTGTCATGTACAATCCCATGGAATAAAGTTATGATTTAGTGCTGAAAATACTTGACTTGAATAAGTGTTGAGCACTGTTGCATCACAGCAGGAAGCACCTGAGTCCTTACCACCAGCTGCTCTTGCAGTAATAAGTAGTGTACCTTTCTTACTGTCCTAATGTGCACAATGTAGTGACTGCTTTTTCGTCTTTTGTTTTCTTAGTTATGTTCTCTGTATTTGATATGTTTGTGTTATGTGTTACATTGCTGCCTTCTTGGCCAGGTCAGCATTGAAAATGAGATTTTATCTCAATGCTTTTATATCTCGTTAAATAAAGGTTAAATAAAAAAAATAAAAAAAACGTGTGGTTTGGATGGATATTGAAATGTTTCGAAAACTTTAGACATTTTATTGCAAAAATTCTCAATGACTTGTTCTGAATTGTTGAGAAGTAAAAGCACAATGGAAATGGAAATATTCAGTAGATGTACCTAAAAAACAATCTATAATCTTTTACTTTACATTGTTTTGGTATTTTATTTTCAGCCCCTGTACAAGACTTCATTAATTTCCTAGATTGAGTCTTAAAAGATATATTTTTTTTATAATTTTCGTAACTTAGTTATCAAAATATCTCTATTTTGATAACTAAGTTACGAAAATTTCTCTATTTTGTCTAAATATCTCTATATATCGCTATTTTGCCTTTTAGTTCTTTGACAACAAAAAAGGAAATTTGATAATTTCAGGGGAGGGTTATTTTTTTAAAGATATGATTTATGCCATACAATGTAGGTGTGAATGTGTTTGTCTGTTCCGCCCTGTGAAACATTAGGTACCCTGCGTCTCCACAGATGCATGATGGGATATCTCCACCCCCCTACAGCAGTGAGCTGATTAGGCAGACAGTATTCAGAAGATATGAAATAAATACTGACAAATTATAATAGCAGGTGGAACAAATAACTTTCAGTAAATTGTACAAAGATACTTACAAAACTCCAGAACTGTCAGTGTGTAACTTGCTGCGGGGAAAGACAAGTTCAAAAATGTAAATGCACTACAGTGTCTGCTTTTAAAGAGAGATTGTTCCCTGGGGCCACATGAATGAGTTTTGAATAGCAGTAGAGCTTTCTAGGAACGCAGTGGAATGTTCCATGTCCTTTTGCACTTGAGATTAAACCAGCGCATGTCTGTGCATACGTTTCCACTAATACCTTTAAGAACCGTTACTTTTTTGAAAGATGATTCAGTGTTTTCACGGCTGTCGGCTTGGTGCCATATTTCATTGGAGATGAGAGATCATGCAGAAAGGTGCAGGGGGCCGACAGGAGAAAAATAAAAGTGAGATTATGGTCAGCCAGAGATGGTATGTTAAAGATCTAAACAATTTTAAGTGAAAATGTAATACACTCAGAGAAGAGAGCAGGCGAGCCAACAGAATAATGTGTGCCACGTGTGCCTGTGTATTTCGGTGTGTTATGTTATGAGATCATGGCAGTGACTTCATCTGATTGAGCTCACCCAGCGTCCAATCCCCAACTCTGCCGTCCGGTAGTGGGTGGGGAGAAGGGTGCTATCTGTGGACATGTGAAGTGACAGGACCAGCTGGTGTTTGAAATCCAGTAAGACAGGCAGTAGGTCTGGGACACACAGACCACGAGCCCCATAGTGCTCCGTTACAGCTGCCTGCAACTCAACTTAGTGAGGAAAACACAGCGAGGATTCAGTGTAGCTGCTGCCAAACATCAGGAGTTCTACAACAAACCTTAACGCTGATCATGTTCTGCGTGCCTCGCTTAGGAACCCTGAATCAACAACCGCTACCCTTACCAATCCTATCATTGGTGGTGATTCAGCTAATTGGATGCTGACATCTTGGAATAGGTGATAGAATCAACTGTGAGGACGATGGGTGGGAAGCAATCTCACGGCTTCTCCAGCAAGGAGCTGAATGAGGGGAGTGGTCGTCAACGAAGCAAAAGTTCTTCTAGAGACGGCCAGCCCAGCCTGTCCTCCGCTGCCGAGAGGTTCCGCAAACACACCACGGTTCACTTTGGCTACAACACCCTCAGCCTGGCCATGCGGGCGCTTGTCGAGACCCCCTCTGAACTGTGGGAGCTCCGGGAAGTGCAGAAGCTAAACTTGTCCATGAACTGCCTGAGCTCCCTGCCCCCTGCCCTGGGAGCTCTGGACAATCTTGTGATCCTCAACTTGTGGGGGAACAACCTTTCAAGTCTACCAGTGGAGATCAGCCTCCTGAAGAAGCTGCGCGTGCTCTTCGCCTGTCGAAACCGCCTGAGCGAAGTCCCCGAGGAGCTGGGACGCTGCACCCGCCTGGAGGTGCTCAGCCTGGCCAACAACCAGATCACAGGCCTCCCCAACAGCCTGGGAGCCATGCACAATCTGACCAAACTCAACCTCAGCCACAACCGCATCGTTCACATCCCCACCTGCGTCTACAGCATGAAGGGTCTGGTTTTTCTTCAACTGGCTTGCAACCGTCTGGAGACCATCGCCGACCAGATCCAGGACTTAGTTAATCTGAAGATCCTCATCGTGGAGGGAAACAGTATCCACTCACTGCCCAAGACGCTGTGCTTCCTGGAGTCTTTAGAACTCCTCAATGTTGACTTCAATGACCTGCAAAATGTGCCAGTGGAATTGTACCTACTCAGCAGACTCGGGAGGTTGGCCTGCCACCCGATGGATAAAGGACTTCATATTATCCACAACCCCCTCCTCAAGCCTATCAAGGAGGTACTGCAAGGAGGTCTCAGTGCCCTCTATAACTACCTCAAGCCCACGTGAGGGACTACTCTCTGTGTGTGTGTGTGTGTGTGTGTGTGTGTGTGTGTGTGTGTGTGTGTGTGTGTGTGTGTGTGTGTGTGTGTGTCTAAAAGAGTCATAATGTGATGTTGGCACAGACCTGATCCCTGGCACATGCTAGTCATGCTGTGAGTCCTTGCTCTTGCCACAAACTGATTATTCAATGATCACCTAAGACCAGTAATAATATTATTTCCTGTTTTTTATGTAATGTCAAAACTGCATTGAATAATAAAACAACTACTAACTGCTGTGTCTAAACCTTTGTTAATCCACAGCAAAGCGGTCAGGATAAGTCTCTCAGCTCACGTACAAATTCACAAGTCACATTTGGGAGATGATTACCAGGCAGTTGACATTGTTTGGCCTGTTGCAGTGAGGGGGCACGTGGGTACGCTCAGCTACACATCACCACCCTTTGTTGGATTCAGGTCATGGGGATCAGGTGTGGAAAGTCAGTGGAAAGAACGGGTGAGGGGGGCTTAAGATCTTCAAAATAATAAAACAAAACACAACAGGGACTTATACTCTGATTAAATGTTGTTCCACTCCATCAGATCAGAGCTGCCTGCTGGGTTCAGCTCCTCTGAGGTTGTCGCGTGTTGTCACACAAACGATTTCAAACGATGGAAAACAAACTTACAGTGATATGATTGAAAAGTGCGTCCTAAAAAATGTGGACTACTGTGGAACAATTTTAATTAAATTCAAATAACTTGAAGCAAATATAAACACTATTAAAGCTCAGAGGGGTTGTACATCGACATTTGGATTATTTTGTTACATATCTGCAGCTATTGCCAATTTGGATATGCATTTACTGTAGCACGGCAACGATCATACATACTGTAAAGCAAAGAAAGTATTGTGAAAGTATTTAATTCACTAGCATAGTGAGTGGATAGGATACCGGACTATTACTTGATATCGTTACGCGACTTTTAATGGAATCAAGGACTAATAGTTTCTAATATTTTAAAATGATGTTTTCCAAATTATATTTGAGTTTTATGATGTTAAGCGTCAACAGTAAGATAACGTTAATTGGATTGCACAAAAGGTTGATTAATTCCAATTTTGAACACACTTTCCATACTGTTATATATATCAGCTTTTTTTTTACTGTGATAATCGGTGTTAAGTGCTTTATTGCAAAGCATTTTACACTTCAACTAACATTAAGGTGCTTGTAGTCAAACTTCAGTAGTGTAGCTTTACGTTGTGATGACATAATGTTATTGTATCTGTACACCTATTTCTTATATTATACCACAAGGTTGCTGATAGTAAGATGTAGCAGTAGTGTGTCAACCTGCTAAAATACTTAAAATGTCACCACATTTAAAAAGGTCATGAATATATTTAACCACTTACAATTAAATGTCTTCTAGAAAAGAGACCTCTGTTGACACGCACACGCGCTCACGCTCACACACACACACACACACACACGCACACGAGAATTCCCTCTAGAATAAGTCTTTGTCCCAGATAGTGATCCTGGGACATGTCAAATGAAGCTCTTAAAAAGGTATTGCATCAATGTGAGTCAGTTGGCCTGAATTCAGGTTTCAGTGCTGTTACTATTTTGGTGATAAAACAATTCAAAGACTTGTCTTCTTTTGACAGGTGACCATTATATTTACAGTATACAAACACATATTCCATCAGCAACTATCTAGACCAGAAGTAGGAAAGTGATATGGAGAATGTATGAGAATTGCTTTGCCTATCCATATATGCTTTAACTGTGGTGATACATTTGCATACAAAAAAAAGTAATAAGAAAATACATCCCACTAACAAGCAGGTTTCATTTTTACATATTTAGATAGTAAAGGTTGCTGACCCCTGAAGGTGGTGGGGTAGGTACGTTTGAGAAAAGTTTTTTTTTTGCTTTGACAACAAATTTCATCTCTGGAAGCCGTAGCGTTGTAAAAAGCACGGCCAATCATCTGAGCCGGCCCGGCTAAAATAACTGGATGGCCTACCTGCCGGTCAGCCTTCCATCTGTGGACAAATGTATCTCGTGCCCTCATTGGTCATGTGCGCGTTCGTGTGTGTTGGAGGAGGGGCTCTGTAAGGAAGTAGCAGATTTCTTCCGGCTGTGTATTTTTCAAATTCTAGCGCACTCGAGCTGGGCTGAAGTCGAATAGTCCATTTAGCTTAGGAACCTTCCTAACGGAGTGAAATGACCCGGAAGTCCCTCAGTGGCAGCCATGATGAGTGCCGTTCGAATTCTCTAGAATGATAGGAAAGGAGGTTTCAAACTTCCTTTATAACCTCCTTTAGTTTAGGAACCTAATCCGAGCTCGGCAGAATCTGCACCTGGCTCGCCGATAATAAATTATCATTACACCTGGGTAAAACAGAGTCCATTCTCTTCGGTTCGAAACATAATCTCAGCAAATCCGACGACTTCTCAGTTGCAGTGGGCGACATTATTGTCACAAGTAAGAAGGAAATTACATACCTAGGATCTATTCTTGAGGTAAACCTCTCCGGTGACAAAATGGCATCCAATGTAATAAAAAAAGTCAATCAAAGAACTAGATTCCTATACCGGATCTCCTCTCTGGTAAACAAAAACACCCTGAAAACTCTGGCAGGAGCACTCATTCAAGGGTACTATGACTATGCTTGCACGTCATGGTACCATAGCACCTCCAAGGCCCTAAAAATAAAACTTCAAACATCGCAAAATAAACTGGTCAGACTACTGCTTGACCTTTCATCTAGAACCCACCTCACCTCTGCCCACTTTGACAACCTAGGATGGCTTAGAGTAGACGACAGAGTACAGCTACTTGCAATGGGCCTGGTCTACAAGATCCACTACACCTCTATGGTACCCATGTACATGTCAAAATTATTCCCAAAGGTCAAGGAATACCATGATCATAACACCAGAGGGGGCTCCACAAATCATGTGAAACCCAGATTTGGCACAAAAAAGGGGGAATACACGTTTCGCAATTATGCCACATCAAGGTGGAACGCTCTTCCCACAACTGTAAAGGAAAGTAAAACTATACTTACCTTCAAAACCTCTCTTAAAGAGCACCTTCGGGGGAGAGCATTGCAAAACTGGCCCCGGTAATGGTACAAATCTCAACCTGTCGTTCAATGGACAGCTTCCCCCCCCCCCCCCCCCCCATCTATGTATATACTCGCATTTTAGACTCTGTTACTAACTGTATATCTGTAGACTTGGTATGTCTTAAATGTCCGGTTAGGATGTATTAGAACGAAATCTAAAATGAAAATTGTAAACAAGCAATCTGTATGTAAAAAAAACACCTGTATGTAAATTGTAAATAAGCCATCTGTATGTCAAATATGTCTTATATGTCTTAAATTACATGATGAATTGGAAATGGGGGACCCTGATGTAAACAAGACGAAAGTCTTTCTCTGGTCTGCATCCCCTTAACAATTGTATGTTTTGAGCTGTACTGTACTGTACCCAATATACAAGCTGTTAATAAACTTTTCAATCAATCAATCAATCAACCACTGGACCTCCCTAACCAAAAGGAGAGGAGAAAATGCTGCCCCACAATGCATTGCAGCCGCAGCATTTGCGTCACACAACAGTCGGCCGTTCACGGAAACAAACGATTATGATGGAGAAATTATATCATGAAAGTTACGGTGCTTATTAAGCATTTTAAAACGTATGTGGTAAGTTGCCAAAAGTGCTTTGTTTTGAACGTTCATCAGTATTATAATCAAAAAGAGAAATATGAACGTTAGTTTTTACTGAAATGATCAAATAAAGTCAACATTTCACTGAGCTGTGTGGGGTTTGTTCAACTTTTAAAAGATGTTTGAATGGTGAGGTACACACTACACAGTGATAGGTGTTAAGGACTAACGTTTATAATAAATACATTTGTATTGATTTTAAGATCTTTTCATAGTTCATACAATCATACGTATTGGGATCATTTGTATTAATGTGGACCGGAGGGAGAGGGTGACGATGAGCATAAGTTTCACTTTCATTTTTTATTTAAATTCCAACTTTGGTCATGAAGAATATGTTTCTCTGTTGTCCACGTTCATAAAGCAAAGCAACAGCATCAGAGCACGGTGCAGAGTCTCTAGATGAGTCCCTCGTTCTTATTAAACATCCATGTTGTAGTCCGCTGTATAGAAACCTGTAGTTTCCATAGTTTCCCCACAGCAGCAGACGCACACAATGACGTCCGCTGACGCATCATAAACACCTCGGATAGTGAAAGTGCATTCGGATTCTCTAAAGTACCGCAGTCTCTTCTCCTCAAACAAGTCCTTTTGAATTCTCCTATCCACTATCCCTTAACCCCGTGACGTTTCACTCAGAGGTCAAGGAATAGGAGATAGGGTTAGAATTTAGGAGCTGATTTTTAAACTATCCGACCGCAACCCTGGTTTCTCCAAAATTACCTACCCCACCTTTAATTAAATGTTTATTTATTTTATTTACTAACCAAAGTACAGTCAAGGTTCCACTATTGACTTCCAAACAGTGACCTCCACTGAAGTAATTTAAACCACTCTCCCAATTAATTAAAGTGAATCTTTGCAGTCTGGAAATCACCTTATTCCACTGAACGGACGGACCGTTCACAAATTCACTCACTAGTGGTCAGCTGTACACCAGGGATCACACATGACTGCAGTTAGCAGGCTTTGTAGCATTTGCTGATCCTATTTAATTGCTGCATGCTCCAATAACTTTGCTTTATAATGAGACACTGCAAGATATAACAACTGGGTGAGCACAGATTGGCACCCGTGTTCTTCATTCAAAGGTATTTTGCATTCATAAGCCTGAGCTTGGAAAACAGTTTGGCACCAGCTTCATGACTTCCCATAATGAAGGACAGCTAATCAATCTCGTATTGAGCTTTTGACAATCAAGGCACGGGATAATCACAATGGAATTAAATGTTAAAATCTGTGCTGTTTGGCAGCCACATGAGGAGAGGCTTAATGAGACTTTCTTTAGTGCAGTTTAAAATCTGTGATTTATTCAGTCACACTGAGACTCCTCACGTTGGATGATGTGATTGGCATTTATTGACAAACAGCATTATACTACCACTTATGTCAATTACAACAAAGTGTTATTAAGCTTGTCATTCCTAAGTTTAACTGATTCAAACTGTTCCTGCAGGGAGTGATATGAGCAAGAAAGGATTTAGTGGCGGCTCTCCACGATGAAATGTCA